CCACTTGAAAAATCACACGCATTACATAGTAAGGAGGCTCCCGAGTCATCGAGAGCTCTATGTAAACTTGAGATGACATCGAAAGAATTCAAAAAGCGACCCCTTGACTCCCTTTGTTCCCAAGTATCCGATAGCCTATACACGGCTCCTATCTTGTCAGTGGTAAGCTTTTACATAGCATCATCACACATTCCTCGCAGCATATCTTCCCGGTACGGGTATAAGAACATTTGTTGCTCTTCAGCTCTCTGCCTATCTGTTATCGGGTCCCTCTCACTCAGCTTCTCCTTGATATAGGCTGTGATCACTTCAATGTCAAACTTGGATGTGTATTGTCAAACTTGTGTGCGTATTGTCAAACTCGTGTGGAATATTGTCATTCTTGATTGTAATATATTCTGCCGGTGTCAAACATGAATTCTCACTGTCAAACTTGGTTGCTACAAAATATAAAAGTGACAAACTTGGATTCTCATTGTCAATCTTGATGATAACATTGTCATTCTTGTCTGCTCACTTGTCAAACTTGCACGGGAAAAGGTGTAGTCTCAGACTGGTAGTCTTACTGTCTGATCTGTAGATCGGCAATCGGGGAATCCATGACCTGCGAATGCGCCGAAGGTTATATGTGGCAGGGACCGCACGGTGCGGACTAAGTTTTACTTGTTGCACACCGATACGGGCCCGGCACATATCCCCCTGCTCCAATCCCACACTCCGGATTCATATATATTGTATTGTGTTGGGGAATCAATGTAGGAGGTAACTATCTACTTCTCATGCCCTAAATGATTGAGACTGAGTCATAGGATCATTCCCTCGTGGGGTCATATCCTCATCATCATGAGACCGTTCGGATCAGCACTCCTCCCGGTCGCGGTACCGACAGTACCAACTTGAGGTGTAGCCTACACCGTGTAGGTGGTTCGCTGATTCGACAGCAATGCTCAACAGTTGAAAGTTCGTGACCACCTCGTGCATGAATCCCTAGCCAAGATTAACGGCGAGGATTACACGCATCAGCTGACTTCTCCAAGCGGTCTAGCTCCTGACGAGGACCAGGGAGTCTAGCGGTGTCCTTCAGGACTACACTGTAGCATCCTGATTCTCATCCATGATTCTCAACATCCGAGTTCATTGGGATGCATCTCGGCTGATATGAACTTGAAATAAGTTGATATTATCAAGTTACAATACAGATCTCTCAGTAACACATGAAGTTCCGCGCTTGGCAGTCAACTCAACGAGCATCCCACACCCTTAAGGTTTGGCCACTCGTGGCTCAACCTGAGCCGTTCAGGACGTACGGCGAACATTCCATAGCGCTGACTAACTTCTCGCGCATACGTTCACGCATCAATGCGGGGTTGTGAGCTGCAACCTCCCGGGAGAGCTATGAGAATTGTGGTGCACACCGATGCTGTAACAATAATTTTGTTACAACATTGCCATCAGCTTGGTCACCGAGTCCTGATGATTTGTTCTTCAGCGGCTCGACTGTAATGGATCGCTCGTTGCCACATTATTAGTCATAGACTATGACTCATAGTGACGTCCCCTTCGTTGTGTGCCGCAGGACTGTTTGCTGTTCTCGTTGCGCGGACGAGACTGGTGTATAGCTTCTGTGTGGGATATCGATTCTCGGTTCGATACGCATGCGCAGGGTTTTCGAGGAACAAGAGTTGAGTTAAGCTTTCGGCTTTCCCCCTTCCCCCTGTCGAGTTCAGAGTCGGGTCTGTCTGACGGTTCACAACATCTGGTGCCCAGACCCAGGACTCTCATTCCGTACAAGAACACATGCCGTTTAAACTTGAATCTGTTCTGGAGCCCTTCAAAGGCGATAGTGACTTTGCTCTATGGCTGAGGGAGTTTGACACTGTTGGTGATGCTTCTAAGTGGAGTCCACGCCAGAAGGCGCAGTACTTGGTCCTGTTCATGAAGGGTGCCGCAAAAGATGTCGCTCGGCAAGCTCTAGATGAAGTGGACGACGTGGTCGAGAGTGACAGGGTCTATACGCATGTGGTACGACGTTTAGGGCAAGCCTACTCTTTGAAGACAGGGCAAGCTTGGAAATTGTTGATAACGCGCTCATGGCGTGAGGGAGACACGGTAGATGGTGTGCTTGCAGAGTTCAAGAGATATCTGCGAGTCCTGGGTGTTACTTCCGTCGTAGCCACGGACGTGTTGCTCAAGGAGAGTATCCTGTATTGCCTACCCCCCCGACGTCCGCAAAGCTATCGATGCGTTTGAGGAGGATGGGAAGGAACTTGCATTGAACGATGTCGTTGCTAAAGCACGGACCCTATTGAAGCTCATGCCGAAGAACACTCAGCCGGTGGCGGCGGCCATTACTAGTGGCAAATATTGCTATGTGTGTAAAGCAACTGGGCACACAGCTAAGGAATGTGGCCGAAATGATGGTGTGCCGAAAAGGAGACAAGATAAGCCCGACAAGATGAAGAAGGTCAAGTGCTTCGCATGTCATCAACGAGGCCATTTCGCTAGAGACTGCCCCGCTAAGTCCGGCCTTAAGCAAGCCGCTGCTGCACAGGTCGAGAAGGGTTTTCCCAAAGCAAGGCGATCGTCGGACGAGATCGTCTTGCAGATGTAGTTCGTCCGTATCTCACCTGTGAGATTGATGGTGTCTCACTTGAGGCTGCAGTCGACACCGGTTGTGACATCTCGCTGGTATCGTTGGGGTTCGTTAAGACTCTAGGTGTGGCGATAGACACCACAAGCCCAGTGTTGACATTGAGGCAGATGGATGGGTGCGAGAAGTTGCATACGTTGGGTGTGGTTAACCTTGTGGTAGTGTGCCACCGCAGGGGCACAGCTGGAGCGTTAAGAGTATCACACCCCTTTTATGTTGTGCCAGCAACGGTGTTCGGTGCTATTGTTATCGGTGTGGACTTCGCTAGTATACACCTCCAGGGTATGCGCTGGGATAGCTCTGGGCGCATCTGTATGGGGGGTGCAGTATGTCTAAGTACTTCAGCTGACCCAGTTATCGATGAGCATCGCGTTGGAGGTGTTCCAGGGGTACATGCTCGGGTATTCGAAAGTGGTAAGGTTGAGATCGCTGCCGATGACTTTTTGCTGACACGGAGCCCAGGTGAATGTTGCTTCACATGCAAATGGATCTGGCGTGATGGTGAACCTCCGTCGCCAATGGTGCAGGCTAACCGGGGGGATTATGATCCATCACTAACTTCCGAAGAAGAAACCCATGTGAAGGTCGAAGTGGAGAAAATGGTCTCCAATGGCTGGGTGGTGCCCTGGGATGATGAGTCATCATTGATGACGTTTACAATGTGCTTCCGTGGGTCTTGGTGTCTCAACCGCACAAAAAGAGCACTCCATTGAGGATGTGCCTCGATTTCCGAATGCTGAATAAATATATCAAGAGCGAGCCTGTGCGTGGCATTGTTAACTGCTCCGAGACGCTGCATCGATGGAGGTCTGTCACTCGTGGCTTTACTCTTGACGTTACCAAATGCTACTATGCTATACGGATGTGCCCAAGTACTCACAAGTACCTGTGTGTGATGATAAATCAGAAGCTGTATGTTATACGGGTCCTACCCTTTGGAGTATCTATAGCTCCAAAGGTAGCTACAGCCCTGATAAGTTGGCTTCTTAAGGATATTCCTTATCCTATCTCGTCGTTCATCGATGATAATATCACTCGAATGATCATCATGATATCATCGTCGAAGATGGAGACGGAGTGGTGGACTCAAAGACCAAAGCCGACCCGGAGTCTGTGAAGCTGATCCGAGCAGCTCTCGCAAGAGGCAATATGTATTGTAAAGAAACTTGTGCCATTAGTGACTCTACTAGGGTACTCGGCTTGGATCTCTACAAGCGGGATAACAAGTTGCGGTGGCATCGACGGGATGATATCCAGTTGTACTTGGATACCTCGCAG